TTTCCAGAAGTTCGAATACCTCCTTTCTTATCTAAACGAGAGAAAAGTTAAAAAAAAAAAAAAAAGATTAAGGTCAAGCTAGAATGGTCTTGGTGAATAAATTCAACCATCAGGACTCCCTAATATTTACCCAATTGTTATGGCCAGAATCACAGAGGGCAAAAGTCCTAACACACATTTGATTCACAGTGGAAATTAAAAAAAAAATTATTATTATTATTATTCCGAGACAGAGTCTCATTCTGTTTCCTGTGCTGGAGTGCAGTGACACGATCTTAGCTGTTATCTCTGCCTCCTGCGTTCAGGTGATTCTCATGCTTCGGCCTCCTGAGTAGCTGGGATTAGAGGCCTGCACCACAACACCTGGCTAATTTTTGTATTTTTAGTAGAGACAGGGTTTCGCCATGTTGGCTAGGCTGGTCTTGAACTCTTGGCCTCAAGTGATTCACCTGCCTTGGCCTCCCAAGATGCTGGGTTTACAGGTGTGAGCCACTGTGCCTGGCCTATTATTGTTATTATTTTGTAGAGACAGGGTCTTGCTTTGTTGCCCAGGCTTGTCTCCAACTCGTGGCTTCAAGTAATCCTCCCACCTCAGCCTCCCAAAGGTCTAGGATTACAGGTATGAGCCACCATGCCTGTCAGAATTAAAATATTTACATAATTGAAGGAAGAAGTACTATATAAAACATCAGTTTCATTAAAGTGCCCTTTTGTTTGTAGACATTCAAAATAAAATGCTATGCAAAGGTTTTTCAAGGATTCCACAGTGTGCTTTCTGTAAACAAGATTCTATACAATAGTTCAGTATAGGATTTTATTGCCTTAGAATAACTGCTAAGAATGACAGCAACAGAATAAAAGTAACTATGGAGGACAAGACGTTTTTGGACATTTCTCATTATTAGAACTAGAAACCTAGTAGATTAGTCAGATTTAAGATTATAACCGAAATAATCAACTATGGCCTTGTGCCTGATATCAAATTTGTTAAACCAGTTTTAAGAAACCAGTCAATTCAGGGGCCAAGTGCACAATTGTGTATGTGTGTGTGCCTGTGTGCATGTGTGTATGTGTGTGTGTAACTGAACAAATTGTTTTTTAACCTGAACTGAGGTCTGAAATAACTCACCGATCAATTACAATCAGGTTTGGTCTCAATCTAGACACACAGCTTTATGTGATAAATTAATTCATTCAGGATGTTTGAAGGAGTATTTCCAAGCCTCTCTGATAGTTACTGCCATGATTTATTCTTGGTTGGTGACTGGTAACCCCTTTTTTTTCTAACAGCTACTGTGAAGCATCAGGTTAGATTGAAAAATTAGCCCCATAATAGCATGGTAGGTGGCAAAGTCAGTTTTTCACATGATGATGATAATAGATTGCTTTTAGAAATATATAATGAGTTAATGCTATGCCCATAAAGGCATTCAATCATTTAATTCTAATCTACTGAGACATCAAAAAATTTCCCCACCCCACGAAACCAAAATATCTTTCTAAATTAAGTAAGCGGGTTCTTGGGAATGTGGAGATGCTGGCAGAGGCAAGTTTGTGTCCCTGCTCCACCAAGCCCAGCTAAAAGTGCACATGTAAGAATGAACGACAAAGACAAGTGTGTGTATAAAGAAAGGCACGGGAAAAGTGCAGGTCCTTCAGATCTTCTTGTTTCTCAAAATGGTCCCTAGTGAGGAGAGGCCATTGATCATTTAAGGAGCAAGAGAGCGGATTCTCATGAAACGCATGAAAAGGATACAGCTACATGTAAGGGGATGAGGCGGCCTCTATAATTATAGTTAGCTCAGAGTTAAAAGGTAGAAATCATTTCACAATCTAAAATGTGCTGGCTCCTCATGTCAAAGACTTTCTTATTGTGTTTGAACTCAAGTTCAAATTGAAAAAAAAATGATTAAAGGCAACTGCTGGTTACGTGGTACCTCAGGAATGTCCATCATTCTCCTCAACTTCTGATCTCTCCAGTTCCAGTCAAAAACCAGAAATTTTAAGGGGTTCAAATTAAGACCACCTGAAAGAGACAGGGAGAGAGCTGCTGCAGTAAAGACCTCATGACATAAGCCTATTACAATGATTTTTTATTTTCCGGGTTGCTTTTTGTCTCATTTGCTGTCCTCTCCCCCAGTAACTAATCTCTGTACATTCAGTGCTGCCCTTCCCTGATGGAAAACAAATGCTCCACTCTGAGACTGGCTCTTATCACTCCTTCTGAGGAAAGCAGAGAAGCTGCTCTTCCTAAGCTCCTCAAATGCTCACACGCTGGCCAGGCCTCCATTTCATGAAGCCTCAGAGGCGTAGTCTCATTCCTGACAGGCATTTGCTAAGCTCAATCCGACAGTCTGGGGCGGTTGCCTGTCAGAGGAGTCGAGTCCATGGAGTCTGCATGGCTCTGAGGAGGTGAGTGGGGAGAAAGATGCGGGCAGGGCTGCGAGGTTCATTTTAGGCAGAAAAGGAAGTTGAGATGAATGGGCTCTATTCAAAGTGAGCTATCCTTTGATGAAGCTGGTAAATCACTTAATGACTCCATTCTCTGTTTTCCTGTCTGTCTAGAAGACAATTATGGACTGTGAAGGCTGAAGGGGACCTCGGGGATTGCCTAGTCTTCAGCTGGCTCGCAGTTGGGCATACAGTCAGTTCTTGCCTCTGCTCCAAGCTGTTCCACGTCCCTAGGGAAAACAGTACCTGCAGCCTTCCTCTCCTGCGGCTCTTCCCTCAGCTATTCCCTGTAGTATTTAAATATGTTCCTCTTTACCCCAATACTTATTCATGCTTTTTATAATTCAAATGCCTGTTATTGAAAACTCTGCAAAATTAAAATTAAAATGGTGAAAGGTAAAGACAATCAGTTGATCATCAGTCTTCCCTTAACCTAACTGCTGGCAGGAAAGCAAATAGGTACAGCCTTTCTGGAATGAAACTGAGCATAATATAATAACAGCTTCAAAATGCTTGTATTTGATCTCAAACTCCTGACCTCAAGTGATTCACCCATCTCAGCCTCCCAAAGTGTTGGGATTACAGGCCTGAGTCACAGTGCCCAGCCAAAATGCTTTTATTTGATAAAATAAATTTCCTTCTATGACATATCCCAGTGAAACATCAGAAATGTAAACATAGCTACTTGCAAAAATGATCATTGCAGTATTATTTATAATAGCAAAAGTTTATAAACAACCCAAAGTCTACCATAATAGAATTGCAAAAAAAAAATTACATTAGAATATTGTGTAGCTATACAAATAAAAAATTAAACATGCTTCATGACAAGGAAAGTAAGTCCTCATGAGATATAGCAAGTGAAAAAGGTAGGTTATAAAGTTATGAGATGTTGTATAACCAATCTCTCATGTATAAAAATAAACATATAGATGTATAGAAAAAAGACTGAAAGGAAATCTATTCATTATTAACAAGAGATTGCCTCTAAAGTGACTTGTTTTCTTCTCTGTGTATTTTTGCATTTTTCAAAGGCTCCTGTAGTCAGAAAATTTCCTTTACTGCTAAATTAAAACAACACAATTGTCTGTAATTGTGCACATCCTAGTGTCATGGGATATCTTTTGATGTCTGGAAACTCTCCTTATATATCAAACATATAAACAGCTTGTTAAGTCATAAACAGCTAGGTATCACTTTGTTAGATTTTCCACTTTTAGGGTGCTGGGATTATTCTCTTTAAACACTTTGTATGTAGCTAAATACCTGTGGTTAACGAATATTAAACCATTCATCCAATTAGAATCAGAAGTAAAAATTATTTTCATTAATGTTGTAAAAAAAAATAGCTCCTTAAATGATTTTTCCACATGAAATAAGCCTTCATATTGAGGTCTCACAGCTCTGTAGAGATCTGATTTCAGTAGTCTGGATAGCTTTGCTTTTTCTCTTCCTCCGTTTCTTTTAAATACAGAGGAGCGTATTGTTGCATGGAATGGGGGCTGGGGGAGTCTGGTGACACACAAAAAAATCTGTATTCCAGAAGAGGTTGGTGGTGAATCCTTAGCTAAAAGCTGTTAAGGAAACAGGGCCCAACCCAAGAGTCCATCCTTAGCCTCTCCTGATACCCAGCCAATGACTCCCAAAGCTCTGTCTCATAGAAAGCCTGGTGCCTCTGATCTGTTCCTTAACTTTCAAATGCCACAGGATGTCCACAAGACAAAAACCCAAGCTCCCTGGCTTACCATTCAAGGACTTCCCTTCAATTTCTTTCCAGTTGAATCACCTGCTACTATTGCCCATGAAGTCTCCAAGCAAGAAAGTTGGTCTCTTTAATAACTAACTAATATTTGTTAAGTGCTTAGGGTGTGACACTTAGTGTGGTGAGCTCTTTATTGGCGTTTTGTTTTTATAACAATCCTTGAAGTAGCCGCTATTACTATCTGTGTCATTCACACAAAGAAACAGGCTGAGAAGGGTTAAGTAACTTGCCAAGATCACAGAGTTGGGAAGTTGCCGGACCTGGGATTTGAATCTGGAGGTCTGAGTCCATCACGGGGCTCTTAACTGCAACACTATTTTGCCTCCCCATCAATTCCTTGTGATATACTGTGTGTATGTCACATGCCTGCTTTCCGAGAATCTCACTGGGCTGTTCTCCCATTCATGAATGCTCCCCTGACCCACCCTGCCTATTTCAGTCCTCCCCACACTTCAAAGATCAGTTAAAGACCCTGCCCTGCAGATTCAGGCCAGCGTAACAATCTCATTCTCATTTCAACTCTTGTAGGACTTAGAAGTGCTCACTTGGCTCTTGGCATTGACTGCCTCATGTTGTTGATCTCAGGCTATGTACACTTAGTTCTCCAGCTGGATCAGGAGAACCAGGAAAGCTTGGACTGATAGACCTCGGGGAGGGCGACTTAACCCTCTGAGCTTCAGTTCTCTCTCTAAGAAAAAGGCTAGCCTGTAAGAATGGCTTGAGTGCTATACGCGATAATATAGTAAGGGTGTCAAGTGTGTCACTGCGTACAGGTAGGAACTCAAAGTGTTGTTTCCCTTCCTTGGCAGGGGCAGCCAAATTGTTACTTCTTGGTATTTATACACAACTCTGCATATAGTAGGTTCAACTAACCCTGGATGGTTTTCATCTGGAGAGAAATAACAGTAGTTGTAGCTTTTAGTGGCTACATGACCATCTCTACAATGATTTACTACACTGATGAACGCATTACTTTTAGATATATAAAAGCTATTGAGAATAGTTCCAGACAGTTATTTAAAAAAAGGTCTATTATAATTAAATCTGCCTGGTAGGTAGAAGAGGTAATTAGATCATCGTTGCTAACCAGTAGCAAGTTCTTAGGCTACTGGTTGGCAAACTATAAAAACCCGCCAGTGCGTGTTGTTTGGAATACTTTCTGTAAAGCACTAAAAGAGAAATGCATTTGGGAAGAAATATTATGCAATGCCTACATTACAGTCATGGAAACTACATTTTGTTTTATTTTACCAGCCTTCAAAATGGGAGTCTCCCCAAGACTCAGTGGAGTAAGAGGGAAATGCTCAACTCATGCAGCGGCTGGACACTGCATGAAGGCTATGCGGATCCATTAACCTGCTTATCCGCTTATGGCAACTGGACGTTGGCTGTTCAGGTGGGTACACGTATTTCAGTTTGCCACAGTCCTTATCATTCCTTATTGTGTTGTACTTGCTGGTTGGCTTCAGAGATTAAAGGCCGAGTTTCCAGTTCCTGAATTAACGCAGAGATCTGGTTTTTGTATATCCCAGATTTAGCTTCTGAGACTCACGTATGGGTAAGGCAGACTCCCAGCCCTGGGCAAGAGTATCCCTGTCCTTGTCATACCTTGTTTAACAAGCTCTTTAATTCTCCCTGGAGTTCCTACACCCAGGTGTACCACACGCTTCTCCAGCAACTTTACCTGCTCCTGGACCTGTTCCAAGATTAAAGAGAAGGGAAGAAAAGGAAAAGTCATTAAGAAAGTGCAATCTTACGCCCCTTTAGAGCATTTTATCTCAAAGTTAAGAAAGTGAAATGCAAATGGAGCTACCCTTGTACGGTCAACTTCTAGGGCAGAGATGAGCATATCCCTAGAAAACTGGTGAATCTTCAAGGAATCAAAGGGTCAAACCTCAAGCTCTACACAGGGACGGAGCATGGCAGTAGCGACTGCCATAGGTGGGGGCAGGGGTAGGTATGCGGAAGGATAGAATTAAAAGAAACAGAAAAGCTGTTAAATGTTACATAAGGAAGGAACTCAGTAAGTACTTGCTAAGGAGATTAGGAGAAGAGGTTGAAAGGAAACAGCTGAGGTCTGGGAAAGGCCTTTAGGGATCACAGGCCCCTGCTTACCTTTATGTGCTTTGCAAATAATTTTATAACTTTGCTGTCTCCTCTGAATGCTGTCATTGACCTAATGAAAAGAAATAGGTGAATGCTTAAGAAAACCGACGCATTCTGGGCCACGATGACTACTTAAATATTACGTCTTGCTTTATTCAAAGAATATGTGCATCTGTGTGTATCTATGTGCATACGTACACACAAATTCTGAGATTTTCAGGTTAGCCCATCTTTGCAGTGAGAGTGGGTGGCCTTTTATTCAGGCACATATCTGGGTGGGCTTCATGCTGCCATACACAAGGCCAACCTTACTTAAGCCTCCTTGATTACTGAAACACAGGACTCTGCCTTTCACTTCCAGCACAGAATTCCTGTATTTCAGGTCCCTGGCAGAGAATTTATGTTCCAATTATGCAGTGCAGTTCTCACAGAAAATCTGGTTACAAGAGATATCTTAGAGTGGTGATGCCAGCCCATTCTCTGTGGGGCCAAGGGCATCTACAAAGCTCTGCCTGTGGTGGCCATGAGGGGAAGCTGGGGATGAGCCCGAAAGGAAGAAGGAGGAGGGCTCTTCTATCCTTCTGTCAGAGCTGTCCCTTTTATCTACTTTGTAGACTAAGCTTCTCTATAAAATTTTATATGTGGAAATGGAGCTTTGGCCAAAAAGAAAGGAAGGAAGGAGGAAGAAAGGGAGGGAGGGAGGGAGGAAGGAAGGGAGGGAAGGAGGAAGGAAGAAAAGAAGGAAGGGAAAGAGGAAGCAAAGGAGGAAGGAAAAAAACTAAGAAGAAGCCAATGACACAACGGACTGGCTGAATTAAAGCTATGAGGGCAGGGGGTTATTATGAATGAGTGAAGCGATCTGGGACGCAGGTGTGAGGACGGAGGGGCACTGGAGAGTGTGTGTCCCCCAACCAGTGCTCAGCTTTGCCAGTTATGATGATGTGAGATTATGGGCTTAAGACCCTTTGATTTTTAGAGAAGCCAGAAATCTAGATTTTTATATGTGCAATCTGATTTTAAATACGGACAACCCATACCAAAAATTTTTAGGTGCAAAATTCTTGTGCCTTTGAGCTGTCACTTTACAGTCTCTGGCTTACACCAGCAGGACAGGCAGGCCATTTAGTTTCTAGGTAGTCAGGAAGCTAGATCTATCTGAATCAATCCAGACCACCAGCTCTGAGGGTCAAGACGACGTTGGTGGCACCTGGCATGCCTGCCTTTCTCCTCAGGTCCTCAGCTGGTACCAACAGCTGCTCTATAAACAGCCACATAACATTATCTGTCCTGGGTTTTTGTTGTACAGATGACAGGAGAATACTGCTGCCACTGTGTCACGGGGGAAGAGCTGTACTTCTCAGGGAACTTTTGTTTCCCCCCAAAACCCACAGAACGTCATCAGTCTGGCAACTGATAATGATTCCCAACAGATCCTGGCTGTTGGAAGGTGCAGGCCCCCAGTCGGGGCCACCTTTGCAACTGAACAGGGCCTTATAGACATGATTTTGAGCACCATTTTTAGCTGGCTTCACGTAATTTTTTGTTCTTTATTTTTTCCTTCCATTTTCACAACCTGCTTTTCATTTGTTGAATGTATTTCTATATATCACCTAAAATTCCGTTTTGAGAAGAAGTGGGTATACATGATCTTTTAATTGATATTTGAGGATAGACCTAAACATGGGTTTACTACTTTCCTTCATATATCATTATTATATTTGAGAAACATTGCTCAGTAAAAACATATGAGTTTGGAAAATAGTGAATCATGCTATACAAATTCTGTTCCCTTCAAATTTTTACTTACACATAAGCTTCCTCCATGGCAGGGTTAGCCAGGAAGACAATTTAACATAAGTCACGGCTCTCAAGAGAACAGATCTTACAAAAGTTAGAATTATTAAATATTAGTCTTTATGAATAGGGCTTGTTGCGCCTACTCAGAAATCACCTTTTCAAATCACCTAACCTTGAAATGGATCACAGTACTACCGAGGATGCAGAAAAATACTGCAAACTAGTCAATGAAGTGTGACAACACAGTACTTTTATGCCCTCGGTGAGGAATTTATCTACAACAAAAGCTCAAATCAATTTGATAGCTTTATTTTAAGAGTCCACCTCCAGGCCAAACTCTTTCCCCTTAGCCTTTGAATCTGAAATGAGGTTGTTTTTAAAGCGCTGAAAAGTCAGTGTGAATTCCCGCGATTTCAGGACCAGCAAGTACAGCTGCCCAGAAGCAGCTGGAATCTTCAAGATCAATTATGTTTACAGCAGAAAAAATGGAAAGAAACACTTTTGTTTTACTGGGAGAGTATGTGCTACAATTTAATGTGTGTCTCCACTTCAGTGGAGAAAGGAGGGTTTGAAGGACCTATTAAAGTTTAACAACTACTTCTCTAAACTCATGATTAGATTAATTCATTTAGAGAAAAACATTCTAAATAACTACTGAGAGTCTACATTTGTACTTAGTCTATTTGACCCAGTTCCTTTTTCTTCATGACTTGGATTTTCCTTTGTTTTGTCTCCTTTCAGAGCCTGGCCTGGAGCCTGGCTCTCAGGGAGAGCTGCTCCGAGCAAATCCCCTCTGACCCTGACGGCCCTTCTCTGAAAGCTGAATATTACCACTGACCAGTGGAAGCCTTCTTGTTTATTCTACAAAAACTACGGTAAATGAAAAGGTATGTGAAAGCACTTAGTAAAGCACTGACAAATTATCTTTAAAACATAATCTTTACATTCAAATTTTTGTTCCATTTGGAATTTATCTTGGTATAAGAAGTAAGATACGAATCTAACCTCATTTTTCCACATGGCTACTCAGTTGTTTCAACACCATTTATTACACAATCCATCTTTCCCTACTGATTTCTGATTTGTCACCTTAGGCATATGCTCCATTTTCATATGCATTTGGGTCTGTTCCTGAACTTTCAATTCTGTTCCACTCATCTGATCTGTCATGCATGTGCCAGCTCCATACTGTTTTAGTTATTGAGAGTGTGTGTGTGTATGTATATATAATTTGTAACCTCTAGGGATATAATCTTCTCATTGGTATTCTTTTTCAGAATTTCTTTACCTGTTTTTAGTTGTGTATTTTCCTGTACGAATTCAGAACTAGTTTATCCAGTTTAAAAAAACAATTCTATTGGAGTTTTACTAGGATTCTGTGAAATCTGTAGGCTATCCTAAGTAAGACACACATCATTACAATATTGAGTTTTCCTATTCAAGAATATGGTACACATTTTTGTTTGTTCAAGTTTTCTGCATCCCTTAAATGATGTTGTCTGTACATAAGTTTTGGTAAGTGTATTCTGTGGTATTCTATCTTTTCTTTCTTTCCTCTTTTTTCTTTTCTTCCTTCCTTCCTTCCTTCTTTTGCTTCTTTCTTCCCTCCCTCCCTCTCTCTCTCTCTCTCTCTCTCTCTTTCTTTTCTTTCTTTTTTTCAATTCATAATGGAGATGGGGTCTTATTATGTTGCCCGGGCTGGTCTCGAACTCCAGGGCTCAAGCAGTCCTCTGACCTCAGCCTCCCAAAGTGCTAGGATTATAGGCATGAGCCTGGCTTCTCTTTTCTTGTTACTGTTTTAAGTCAGCTCTTTTCTTCTAACTGGTTGTTTGGGGTATGATCTCCTTGCTTTTACCCTTGCTGTCTACAATGTGTGCTCTCCACATGGCAGCCAAGTGAACCTTTAAAATGATGATTCATATCAAATAACTCCCCAAAATCCTATAATGGCATTCGATCTTGGGGTCTTCTGTGCTTACTCTCCCCTCTACCTGGAATGGTTTTCTTTCAGATAGTTGCTGGGCTTTCTTCACTTTGTTCAAGTCTCTGATCAAACTGTCATCTCCTTAGAGAAGCTTTCTGTGACCATCCTTTGAAAAGCAGTCCTGATCCACTTACATCCCTTTGCCATGCTTTATTTTTCCTTATGTAACTTATCAATGTATCTGACACTACAATGTATTTTCATTTGTTTATTAACTGTCTTCACTACTGAAATGTAAATTCCACGAGGGCAGGGACTCTGTTTTGTTCATTGCCACATCTCCAGCACATAGAACATAATAAATAGCTTGGCACGTAACAGTTATTTAGAAACATTTATGATATGAAATAGGTGAACCTTCCAACCTAATGAGTTCCAGGGCTCGGATGGCCGAGCTGCAGATGATCAGCATCAGGACCGATTTTTTTTCAGTGTGGTTTCTCCTAAGTTTTACCCACTTAGGACAAACTGGAAAAAAGACCACAAAACAATTATTCAAAATACAGCAAAACAAGGCCCACCTCCCAAGTTGAGTATTTCTTCTTTGTTGAGTGTTTAAGCAAAATAAAATATAGTGAGCATGGTTCATTACAATTACAATTATAATTCCATTTTCTGGTTATTGTACATATTAGATTAAAAGGAAGTATCATTAATTTATAACACAAAACACACATGCCAAGTCCTTAAATGTGACTGATTTTAAAATTAAGCAAAAAACTTTGAAATATTACATTTTTGATATTTTAATTTATGTTCGATACTTGAAGACAATGACAAGTAAATTCTGATTCAATCATGTTAAATTTTAAAGGGACATTCAACATAAGACATAAAATGGAACAAAGATTTAAACAACAGCAAACATTTATTAAATACTGACACGGTGCTATCTTGGGGTCTTTTATATTCTTTTATCTTGGGGTCTTATATTCTTTTATCATCTTGGGGTCTTACATTTCTTTTTTGATTTTCGTAGTCTAGTGAGGTTAATTCTGTTATTACCTAGATTAACATTTCTGAATTTGAAGCTGAGAAAGGTTTATGAACTTGAGTGTCATCAGAATTGCTTGCAGTTTGAAAGAAGAATTAAAAATTTCTATATCTAAACGATTTCATTGCTGGATATAAATAAATAATCACTTGATATGAATAATTTAGTTATTGCTGGCTACACATAATACATATAGAAGGGCCAGACACAGTAGCTTATGCCTGTAATCCCAGCACTTTGGAAGGCTGAGGCGAGTGGATCTCTTGAGCTCAGGAATTTGAGACCAGCCTGGGCAACATAGAAAGACCCCGTCTCTACCAAAAATAATTTTTAAAAATTAGCTGCTTGTGGTAATGCACAACTATAGTCCCAGCTACTTGGGAGGTTGAGACAGGAGGATTGCACAATCCCAGGAGGTTGAGCCTCCAGTTAGCTGTGACCACACCACTGCATTCCAGCCTGGGAGACAGAGTGAGACCCAGTCCCTCTCTAGCCTCCCAAAAAACACATTTTGAAAAGATAGATAAAATTAGATTGACTTCACATTAGCCATGGTCTGAGTTCTAAACATGCAAATAGAATTTCACAGATGGAACAGATATGACATAGTCCATCTTCCCTGTTTTTCAGATAACAAATTAAGTCAAGGGAAGTACTCAGTGACTTGTCCCAGGTCAAAGAGCAAATTGGTGGAGGACCTGGGACTAGAACACCATTCTCTGGATTCCAGGAGCAATAATGGTCTAATGTGTTATAAACAAAAACGAGACCGAAACCTGATTTCCCAAAGCCAGAGCAAAATAAGAATAAGTTTAAGTAGATTAAAATCAAAGTTTACTTACTTTCTTTTAGGTATGAGGAAAGACTGTGAGTCAAATCATTGGCCTTGAGGAAACAGGAGTCTAGAAATATGAGAAACATGCTTTACAGAGAATTTTGTAAACACACACTCAATCAAATAGATGGTATGTGAGTTATGAGTGATGTATAAGGTTGGAAAACATTAGTGAATTGGAGGCCCATCACATATCTTAAAGTATTGCCTGTATTTAAAATAACAGCGGCAACGAGTAAACTTTTAACTTGTTACAGAGCTGCCCATAATTTGTTAGAGCAGTGAAATAGGAGATTGTTATATCACTCAGCAGATTAATGAAGGACTTATATTTTCCAAATCCATAAAACAGGCACTATAACAAATGCAAAATGAAATGGCTAACAAATCTATGTAAAGATATTCAAACTCACTAGTTATCAGAGAAGTGCAAATTAATATAATGTACTTTACACACTCGTTAGAATGGCAACAATTGGCAAGATATTTGAAAGCAGGGTGATGGAAACTTGTGAACTGTAAGTGGAAGTAGAAACTGGTATAGTTAGTTATTCTGGAAAGTAGGAATATTAATCTGTTTATAATCCCATGATTTCATTTCAAGTGAAATAAAGGAAAGAAATTCTTGTGTGGTCTGTTAAGGTACACACACAAGGATAGTCATCTTGGCATTATTTGTGATACTAGGGTGCTGAAAGCAACCCAGGTGTCTACATCTGGGAAAGTGGATGAGTATATGTGATAGATGGAAATACTGGAATATCGTGTTGCATTTAGAAGCAATGAACTAGATATGCATAAAACTACATAGTCACATCTGGAAAAAGTGTCAAGTGAAGAAAGAAACAGAATAAAAGCCTTAGCACAAAGCCATTTAGATACAATTTAATATGTATATACATACACAGCATGACATATTTTATAAGAATATATATATATATATATATATATATATATATATATATATTTTAAAATACCTATCATATTAGAGTGAATGCCTATAGGAAAGGAAAACAGAGTTTGGATTAGGGAAGAATGGGAATCATGTCTCTAAATACAACACAACAGAAAAATACAAGAAAAGACAATATAACACGGTAAAATAAAACAGGGGCCTTGACTGAGCAAAATGAAATTTATGTTGTGACCCAGCACATAGAAGCCATTAAGTGAGTAATTCAAATCTGTTTTCTCCTATATTGTTGTGGAACCTTTGGTGTTCTTTAAAACTACAATGTCCCAAGCCTGGATATGATCAGACTCACCTGGAGAACTGAAGATACAGATTCCCGGGATGGAGTCTCTTTTGCAAAGTGAATTAGAATCTCTTGGGGGAAGAGCCTGGGAATCTGATTTTTAAAAAGTTCCTGGGTGACTCCGTTGCAGCTAGCCTATAGGCATGTAGGAATCACTAATCAACTGCACTGCAGCTCTCAGGAGACAGCAGAGAGGTTAATTAGCTCCGGGAGATGCCAGCCTTGAAACCCTAATTAAGTGCCCATGTGTATGACATTAACAATGTGCACAATATTAATTGAACAGACATGTTCCTGCCCCACAGACACAAACAACCTCAAATCAAAACCAAGTCAAAGGCTTGACAAACTAAATAGGAACAATATGTTGTTATTTATATCTACCTTATATGTATATATACAAGGGGATTTATGCCCCTCCTGGAGCGTATTCCAAATAACCTACTGTATCTGCTTTCCCGCCCCAGCTTATATCTCTTTGTCGTTGGTCTCATCAGTGAAGTGACCAGGACCCGTTCTCCCAAATCTTCCTCTGATGTCTCAGTTTATTGTGTCTTAAATGGCCTAATTTTTTAACTAAAAATAAAAACCTGTCCTTTTTGGTTATAACGTTATTTCACACATATTTTCCTTCCTCCCCAAACGAACCCATGATCCCACATTCTTGCCTAACTATATTACTGAACTCCAATAAAACAGTAATATCAGACAAATTCACTGTGGAACTCAAATGACTCCTTGAAAGTTTCTTCCGAGCTTTGACTCTCTAACTCCAGAGAGGAGCAAGGTTTACGATGTTCCATGTTACAGAACAGCAGTGGTCCTATTACTCACAAATCCTAAGTTCAAGTTATGCTCTAACAAAGAACTAGAATGCAAAACTGACCATCGAGCCACAGTAAAAATCAAACTTCAGTTAAAGCTTTAAAAGTGGTTAGAATAGTTCCTGTGACAGTGCAGTCAGGACACAGTTTTCACAGCAGAGGCAGTGGTGTGCTGAGAAGACTAGATTGTAACTGCTATTGGAACCGTCTACGCTTAGTAAGTCTAAAACTCCAGATCCTACTCATGTGCAAATGCACTCCTTCAATTCGCTGAAGGGCAATCTCCTTGGAAAACAAACAGATGGGGCACTCATGTCTCCAAACCCAATGTGTGTTTTTGAAAAAAGGATATCACAAAAGAATTATAAAAATTCAGGGAACAGGCCAGGCGCAGTGGCACATGCTTGTAACCCCAGTACTTTGGGAGACCGAGGCAGGTGGATCACAAGGTCAGGAGTTCAAGACCAGCCTGGCCAAGATGGTGAAACCCCATGTCTACTAAAAATACAAAAATTAGCTGGGCGCGGTAGCAGGTGCCTGTAATCTCGGCTGCTTGGGAGGCGGAAGCAGGGCAATTTCTTGAACCTGGGTGGCAGCTATTGCATTGAGCTGAGATCGTGCCACTGCACTCCAGCCTGGGTGACAGAGTGAGACTCCGTTTCAAAAAAAAAAAAAAAAAAAATTCAGGGAACAGATTGTTTTTCAGTTTCTCAAGCTTCTAGAAAGCATAAAGTTGTAATGGAAAAAGGAAATCAAGCCACCTTCTACTTTTTCCAAAAGCAATATTAGATATCCCTAGTACTGTAGTCTATAAATAGCTCATTTGAAGCAATTGTACCAAAACTTTATGTGGTTTGATTTTATGACAACATCTATTTCCGCCCATCTTTGTCTAAAAGAGTTACAGGATGTGTCATAATTTTGAAATTAATTAAAATTAGTTGTTTAAGCTGGGTGTGGTGGCACGTGACTATAGTCCCAGATACTGTGGAGGCTAAGGTGGGAGGATCTGCTTGAGCCCTGGAGTTTGAGGCTGCAGTGAGCTATGATGGTGCCACTGCACTCCAGCTTGGGTAACATAGCGAGACCCTGTCTCTAAAATAAATAAGCAAATATTTTTAAAAAGTTGGTTGTTTACATTTTGCAATATCTTTTAGCTTAATTATAAACACACTAAGGTAGTAGATCTAAAATTCTAGTAGGCTTAAGAATCCCTTGAGGCAAAGCATCAGCCTCGCAAAACATGCAGAATTTTATTCCTACGTTTAGATAGTTTGCTTGAAAGAGTCTGGCCTGCAACCCAAAATACTATCTAAAAACCATGACTAGAAATCCATGATAAGAACAACAACAAAACTAAATTGCTTATTAAGGCTAAAGTTCTTGCCTATAGGAGTTGAGCAAAGCAGTGTTGTAAGGCTGGTTGCCTCACCAGGAGACCGGACACACCCACCCATTCTGCACTCGGCACCTGACTCTGTACCTGGCACCCACCTCTGCACTTGGCACTGGTCTCTGCTCCCGGCACCTGACTCTACACTTGGCGCCTAGCTCTGCTCGTGGTTACCCTGGAAGGCCCCGCCTGGCCAGCTCTTGTATTAGAAAAACCCGCCTGACAACCCAACAACCAATAGTGGCCTGCCCGTCCCAATCCCGCTCCCCTGGAGCCAATCAGAGCACCCAGCTGTTGCTTCTTACTCATAGCCCTAAAAACCCCAGCCCCAGGAAGTCCACGCGACTTCTTTGTCCCCTTTCCCGGACCATAGAACCTCGCCTGGGAGCTGAATAAACTGGCATTTAATTTTCTTATACTGGCCTCAGTTTCCTCATTTTAAACTTGGCAATAATTCTTACAAGTATTTCATATCTATAATTTTAAATGTGTACTTTAACTTCTGTCCTCATGACGAATTCCTACTCATTAAAAAAAATACACACCCAACAATTAGCCTTTTGAATAAAAAAATACAATCACAAATCTTAGTATTAGATTTGCCGAATAATGTTTCGCATGTAATGAGGATATAATCTATCAGTTAAAACTATTAGATTGAGGAAAGAAGTATTATGTTTCTTTTTTTTTTTTTTTTGAGCCGGAGTCTTGCTTTGTCGTCCAGGCTGGAGTGCAATGGCATGATCTCGGCTCACTGCAACCTCCGCCTCCCGGGTTCAAGTGATTCTCCTGCCTCAGCCTCCTAAGTAGCTGGGATTACAGGCACATGCCACCATGCCCAGCTAATTTTTGTATTTTTAGTAGAGACAGGGTTTTACTATGTTTGCCAGGCTGGTCTCGGACCCTTGACCTCAAGTGGTCCACCTGCCTAAGCCTCACAAAGTTCTGGGATTACAGACATGAGCCAGTGTGCCCAGCCTGAAAATATGTTTCTTTAAACAATTATTATTATTATTTTTAAAAGAGATGAGGTCTCACTATATTGCCCAGGCTGGTTTCAAACACCTGGGCTCAGGCAGTCCTCTAGCCTCGGCCTCCCAAAGTGCTGGGATTATAGGGATGAGCCACCGCGCCCGCTGGAAAATATGTTCATTGACTGCCTGAGACACCTAACCATAATAGATAGTTATGTTTTGCTCCTCGTCATGAGGAAAACGGAAGCTTGGCTGTACCTGGTAGGTTCAGTTCTTCCAATTCAATCACTGAGCGACTGCTGCTATAATAGTCCTTCATCAGCTTCTGTAGGTCTTCAGGTACCCCTGGCTTTGGTTCTGATTTTGCAAGAACATCAGTGATTTTCTTCTAAGATACGAGAAGGAAGAAAAATGGGAAGACATATTTTAAAATGGCATTTGGCTTGGAATAGGTTAGTTCCTCTGGCATTTAAACTGCACATAGCTTTGGGTGTTAGCCACGTGTAAATGTGGATAACTGATCATATTAAAGTCGCCCTATGGAAAGTAGAAAAAATATTACAGGAAATACTTTCCAAGATCTATTTTGATTTTGACTCATTTGTGTAGCATGTATTGAATGCCTGCAGTGTACTAGAAACACACAGTCATTCATTTATTTCCATCATAAGCTTCCCTTCTCAATTCCTTCTAATGGTCCACCAAAGATTCAGAAGGAGCGTTTCCCACTGCTGACTCCAGCTTTTCCCACTCCTTCCACAATATCTCCGTTTTTATACACCTGCCAAGAATGGTCAAGGTGCTGTCAAAGGAGTTAACTTTTAAAAATATGTCATCAGTGGGCACATTTTAGCGTGACCTCAGTCAAGGCTAAGCTATCTAGCTAGAGTTTTGACCCTGAGCCACCAAGAACTTAACACTCCTGAAGGCCATTAGTGTACAAACTATCAAAGAGAAGTAAAGTCACTTCTTTAAGGACTTGCCAAACCTCAGCCAATTTGGCATCTCCAATCTTCCTATTTGGCCATTTGTAAGAAAAGAAAACATATGCACACACATTCTCAGTCTTCTAAAAGCTTGCTGTTAAGTAATTGGGTTGAGTCCATCTTCTTTCCTCTAATCCCAATCGTATTTCCTCGGCTGACTTCAGCAGTAGACCCCTCTTGACCGGGAGAGAATTACACTGCTGTTTTCACAACTGTGGGAGAAGGTCACAGCTAACCATACTTTCTCCAAGGCTGAGCCATAAAAAAGTTTGTATAGGAGAAAGAGTCTTTCCTATGCTCACAGGCAAACATCAAAATACAAGGGGGGGGGCTTTTTTGCCTTAATTTATGGTTCCAAATTAGTCAGAAATGCCCCCATACTGCCTTTATCTGCTTATTATTTTCTTTTTATTCATATTTTAAGGTATAAGGTCTTAAAATCTGGAATGAGTAGTAAAAGGAGGCTGGTATTTTTCTTTTCTTGGACAGAGCCTGAAGGGCTGGGGGAGGATAGCTGTGGACTCCTTCTAGAATTAGAAACCTGTGTCTGACATCTGACCACACTGAAAACATAGGGTGGGTAACAAAGATATTTGGTACTCCACAAAATGAAAGAGGAGTCAGAAGAATTTATTCTTAGCTCCAACAGAAACACTTATTACTAGTGACCTTCAGAAAGTCACCAAACCCCAAGGACTCTTACAATGTCTGCATCTCTTAGGTGGGGATTACAGTAGTTGCCTCATGAAAGTATGATATATAATATATAAAAATGTGATAAATTATTAATATTACCTTTCTCCTCTTCCTGGTCTTGGTGGTATTGTCTTTTCTTTCCTTTGGTTGTATCAAAAAACATTCTTTAGGCTATTAAGAAATACAAGTGAGAAAATTTTAATCTTTGCATGATAAAGTGGTATGTCAATTCATGATGTGAACCCCAAAGTACTTTCTACCATGCATGTATTCTTCAGAGTATCTTGGTAACATTCTACAGAAAGAGAGATGCTGGAAGACTTACTGTAGGTTATTACACAGTGGTTGGGCTGAGAGAATTTGAGAAAGTCAGAAAGTGCAGATGACTTAAGACTGGAAAATCTTTGAATGAACATCAAATGTGTGAGTGAGTGTATATGTGTGGTTGGTGTGGAAGGGCAGGGTACTGGGTTTTTGTAATACAGGCAGAAATTGATGTGATTAAACTTAAGATGTGGTAAGACAGTCTTTGACTAGAGTGACTAGGGTTTTCCATGAACCAGCTGTGTGTGAGCCTACATTTCCAAGTCACTGGTTATTGTTTTGTATTACCCATTCCTTTCCTCTTTTCAATAAGCATAGAAAATCCAAAGTAGGATATATTTACTTATGTTTTTTAAAGCAGCTGCAGCAAATGCCTTTAAATGACTATAAAATGAATGTCTCTGTTAATAGTCTGATACCGGTCTCAGCACCATAATATCTGGAGTAATCTATTTTGCCTGTTGCCTTGACCCCTGAGTACCCTATACAGTTTAGCGCTATTTTTACACTGAGGTTTTTTTTTTTTTTTCTAATGTAGAAAAACAGGAAATTTGGACTAAGACCTTGATTTATAAAATAGAATGCCCCAGATTCCGTATTTATTAATCATAAGCAGGAGTAGAAAATGTTTCCTGTGCTGGACCTTTTATGCAACATTGTCAAACAAGTTGCCAAGTAAGATATAAAACGTAAGTGAAAACTTATTCTGAGTTTTCCTTGATTAACTTTCCATTCCAACCAGAGAAAACACAGTTTAAACTGATAAGCTACTAACTAAAGCAATCTTGTCTCCACTGGCTCTGTTAAAATGATTATAGATGAATCTTTCTATGAAAACTTGCAGACAGCCTGCAGATTGAGAATGTCTACGGCCTGAAGTCAGAGAGAAAGATATAATGCTACTAATTTATTCAAGACATGGGGCCAAAGACCAGCAGTTTCAAGATTCTCTTTTAGTTATTACAGAAATGGATTTTTAAAGTTCAGGATTAAAGTGACATGGGAAATCTTGAAATTTTAGCTTCCTCCCAGATAAAAAACCCACAAAGAGCTATTGCATCATAGCTAAAGAAAAGAGAGATATGGCCTCTCTTATTTAGAAAGTTAAACTGTCTTGTGGATGTAGATACATGCCAATTTGATGCTGGTACATGCCAATTAGAAACTGTGCCAAGGCCACTAATATGTCACAGAAGTTGCCAGATGGCCATAAGAGTACAATTACAAACCAGGCCAACATTCAGCTCATGTTCCTAAGGCAAAGGCCAGGATATGATTAGCAGTTCCCTTAAACCATACTACATTATATCCACCAGTATCAAGGTTTTGGGGAAGCATATTTAGAAACCTGTTACATTTTTTTATTTAGTATATGAAGGTGTTCTCGAGGAATATGTTCAGTGTACTGGTTGTATTTGTGCTAGGTTTACAAAGCCTATTAGCTAAATGGTGACATCAATTAAATCTACAAATGAGCTCAACTGTAAGAATATGGACTCTTTTATTCTTGAAGAAAAAATAAAATGTAATTCTGAATCATGCATAGGAAAAAAGAAACACAGTTGATGAACTGCTTTAGCCATGATATTGCCTCAGGTTTAAATGGTAGGCTCAAATTCTTACATCATCCTAAAGGAAATACAATATAATCCTTGGTTTTTGGAACTAGTTACTTTAGCTGGCTGTGGTAGGGTGCCAATGAAGAGGCCAATTTTATGGGGTCAATTTGCATAGAGGTGAGATGACTTTATGGAGAAATCCAAATCCATAGTACTGAAAATTCTTTTTTTTTTTTTTTTTTTTTGATGGGGTCTCGCTATGTTGCCCAGGCTGGAGTGCAGTGGCTATTCACAGGCACGATCCCACTACTGATCAGCATGGGAATTTTGACCTGCTCCGTTTCTGACCTGGGCCGGTCCACCCCTCCTTAGGCAACCTGGTGGTCCTCCGCTCCTGGGAGGTCACCATATTGATGCTGAACTCAGTGCGGACACCCGATTGGCATAGGACACTACATCCCAGAACGCCTGGGCTCAAGTGATCCTCCCACCGCAGCCTCCCGAGTAGCTGGGACTACAGGCATGCACCACCGCGCCCGGCTGAAAATTCTTAAATTTAGTCAACTGCTTTGTTAATGCTGCTGTTTACCCTCAGGGAGACTGGGTAGGAAGATGTGAAGAATCTGGCCAAGCCACTAAGCATTTCTGGAAACCAGTTCGAACACTGTGTGACTTTGACAGTTGTTAGGCAATGCCATTTCTTTATATAAAATGTAGCAACTTAAAATATGTAGTCTGAAGAATCAGACTCCCCTAAAAATGTTGCTTTTAAGGGAAGCAACTGGGGCATATTTTCCAATTCCTTAAACTATCAAGAATTCCATTACTTAAGAATGATTCTCCTGGTTAAACATGGCAAATGAACCTCAAAATGCCAGTAAACTGAAAATAAAGGACATTGAAAAGGACCTATTGAGCGGATCTATGTAAAACCCAAGAAACCAGGAGAGAGAACAATGGTAATGCAGTGATTTCAACAACGTTTTGGAAAATGGAAAGTAGCTGGAGCTGGATAGAAGTGACTTGGCAGAGACAGAAAGCTAGCATCTGGGTTTCTGAAGGGGTGAAAGCTAACAATAAGTGAGTCTTTGACCTGTTGAACTCTGAGAAGGTTCCAGTACTTGGAGGCACAAAGTACTACAGAGAGTAAAGGGTTAAAAAGAAAGAGATTGGCTGAAAGTTTATATTTAGAACGACTAGCTACCCCCATCCTCCACTAGGTGATATCTCCAACCCTGGTAGCCAAGCAGCTATCCCATTACTGCTTCCTTTTGCCTTGCCTGTCCTAGTAGCCAACTGGAGATCTATTGTCTGAAGAGATCAAGAGGATCAAGGCTGGGCCAGGGGAGAGAGGGCAGAGGCTGAGGCTTGCCTCCATTTCCTGCCCCTATTTGATGCTTATATATAGCAGGCAGGAGACTACTGAATTCTTCCTCAGGAAAATGGAGTGGCCTAAAAGAAATACCATCAGAGAGTGACATTTGGGATTTCCATAGTAAAAAAATCCAGCTTGTTATCCTATCACCCTACCATGAAGTACACTAATCAACAAACCCCACTCATCAATGTTTTAGTGTATCTCTCTTCAATAAGAATGAATAGCTAAGGTTCATCAGACATCTAAGGAAAGTCTCCAACACAGGAGCAAATAAATAACAAAAAGAAAAATGAACCTAGAGAAAAGTGGGACAGTACCTCAAAATAATGACAATATCCGCAGAGAGATAAGGGAAGATTTTGCAGCCATGAAATAAGAACAAGATGCTATAAAAATGGGAAAAACAGTTAAGCATTAAAACAAATAAGAAAGGTGGGATAAAAATATACAAGGAAGGCTTGAAGATAAAGTAGAGCCAATCTCCCAGAAAGAGATGAAAAATGAAAAAAAAAAAAAAAAGTGGTGAGAAAATCAGAGAATCAACCCAAGAGATTCAGTTTTCCAATAAATGGTATTATAGAATAAAAGGTCACATAAAACAGTAGGGTCTTGGCATGGTGTCTCATACCCGTAATCCTAGGGCTTTGTGGGGCCAAGGTGGGAGGACTGCTTGAGGCCAGGAGTTTGAGACCAGCCTTCTTAATTACAAAAAAAAAGGCCAGCACACAGTGGCTCACACCTGTAATGCCACTTTGGGAGGCTGAGGTGGATGGATCATGAGGTCAGAAGTTTGAGACCAGCCTGACCAACATGGTGAAATCCTGTCTCTATTAAAAGTACAAAATGTAGTAGGGCTTGGTGGCACATGTCTGTAATCCCAACTACTCAGGAGGGTGAGGCAGGAGAATCCCTTGAAGCCAGGAGTCGGAGGTTGCAGTGAGCCCAGTGAGCCAAGATCGTGCCACTGCACTCCAGCCTGGGCGACAGAGTGAGACTCCATCTCAAAAAAACCAAAACCAAACAAAACAACAACAACAACAAAACTAGCAACTTGGGAGGCTGAGACAGCAGGACCTCTTGAGCCCAGGAGTTCAAAGTTGCAGTGAGCTGTGATTGCACCACTGCACTCTAGCATGAATGACAAAGTGAGACCCATGTCTCTAAAAAGGAGTCATCATAGAAATAATATGTGACAAAATAAAATTAAAAAAAAAAACATATATGACAAACTTGTGTTGCCTGAAGGAAACTTTCTAGAACATGAAATTCCAAATTGAAAGCCCATTAGGTATAGGGTACAACAAATATGAAAAATACCCATACCAAGGAACATCACTGTGAAATTTCAGAAAATCATGGACAAAGAAGATTCCAAAAATTTCTCCTCCAAAATAGTAACATATAAAATACAAAAGATCAGAAAAAAGAATAGTGTCAAGACCTCTAAAAAGCAATAATGGATGCTAGAACTTAATGGAACAATGCTTTCAAAATTATGAATAAAGTTTATTTGTAAATTAAACTTTTATACCCAACCAAAGTATCAATCAAGTGTAGAATAAAGACATATTCAGATATATAAAGTCTCAAAAAATTTACTTCCTACCTACAGATACTGAAGACTGTATTTCAGAATATAAAGGGTGAAACCAAACAAAAGGAAGATATGGGATTTAGCCAAAAAGGAGTCCAACCCAGGAGGGTACTGAAGGGGTATCCTAGGATGACAGTTAAGAGGTGTCAATTGTCAGTGAGCCTGGAGAATAACCAATTCAGAATGAAACAGAAATTTGGAGTTCTGCAGGAAAACAAATCCACTAACCCATTTGAGCATATGGAAAATGTTATTCATGGGCATATGGAAGAGATGTTGGAACATATGGAAACAATCAACAATAGGAACAGAGCAA